GCAAACACACAATCCTTCAATAGGATTCAAATGCGGCAATTTTTTATGTAAACAAATCTAGATTCATTTCAAAATGACAGCGATATTCATCTAGATTAAATAAATTAATCTTTACCAACCAAGAGAGATGCTGTGAGTTACCTGACGTAAAGGGAGATGGGCACCACGGTGTTGAGGATGATGATGTAGGACCAGAAGGTGAGGAAGGAGGAGAAGGCGGGACTGTTTCCGTCTTCTCTCTCCAGGAAGGCGGTGAACTCTGACCCCTCCTGCAGCTGCCAGATGTAGTTTCCTATCGCCAGCACCGTGCACATGAAGGCCAAAAAGCCAAAGATCTGCAGGAAGAAAACATTAGTGACTCATCAGTGGGAGTCCAGGACTTGTTTTGCCTCCATTCAGAAGGGGAAATAAAAATATTAATAAGCTGTATTAACCATTTATTGCCAGGTGTTTTATATTTGCTACAAAAATGTCTTGAAAACTTAAAGAAAAAAAAAGAATAATTATTATCATTATTACATTTTTTTTGTTTATAGTAAAAAATATTGCATTATATGTATTATGTATTTATTTATGTAAATATGTAATGTCTTGAAAACTTAAAAAATAAATATATCTTATTATCATTATTAATTTTTTTCTAAAGAAGATAACATAGAATATTTATCTTTGAAATCTTGTTTATAGTAAAAAAGATTGCATATAATATTTCTCTTTTTTAAATTTATGTTGATAGTAAAAAAATATTGCATTATATGTATTATGTATTTAGTTATGTAAATATGTAATTTCTTGAAAACTTATTTAAAAATAATTATTATCATTATTATATATATTTTTAAAGATTACATAGAATATTTCTCTTTTTGAATGTTTTTTTATAGTAAAAAATATTGCATTATATGTATTATGTATTTAATTATGTAAATATGTAATGTCTTGAAAACTTATTAAAAATATATATTATTATCATTATTATATATAAGAAAAAAGATTGCATCGAATATTTCTCTTTTTGAATTTTTATTTATAGTAAACAAATATTGCATTATATGAATTATGTAATTATGTAAATTTGTAATGTCTTGAAAACTTATTAAAAAAAGAATTATTATGATCATTATTATATATATTTGAAAGATTACATAGAATATTTCTCATTTTGGATTTTTGTTAATAGTAAAAAATATTGAATTATATGTCTTATGTATTCAATCATGTAAATACGTAATTCTAATAATCTTTTACCCTGGATTGGCTCTTTAGGTCTAAATGATTTCAGATCTTAAAAACAGAACATAAACATAAACATAAACATAATATAAATAAACACATAAATATTTGTCTCACACAAAGGACGAGAACGTTCATCAGACGGTCCACGCTGGTCCTCTTAAAAGTGCTTTTCCCGCAGTTTTGCATCAGTTTAGTCTCCGGACCTGGAAAAGACAAGCCAGATTTAAAATTCCCACACGGGTTTTTTTTGGTTTTATTTAGTTTTATTTTCTATTTTTTCTGCCATTTGTTGGTGGCTAAATGTCCCCCTAACCCTAACCCTGGAAAAGAGAAGCCAGATTTTAAATTCCCACATGGGTTTTTTTATTTTTTTTAATTTTTATTTAGTTTTATTTAGTTTTATTTAGCTTTATTTAGTTTTATTTAGTTTTATTTAGTTTTATTTAGTTTTCTTTTCTTTTTATTTTGTCATTTGTTCGTGGCTAAATGCCCCCCTAACCCTAACCCTGGAAAAGAGACACCAGATTTTAAATTCCCACATGGGTTTTTTTAGTTTTATTGAGTTTTATTGAGTTTTATTTAGTTTTATTTAGTTTTATTTTCTATTTTTTTTGTCATTTGTTGGTGGCTAAATGCCCCCCTAACCCTAACCCTGGAAAACAGAGTCAGGTGGCAGGATTTTAAACTCCCACAGCAGGTTTTTTTTGTTTTATTTTGTTTTATTTTCTATTTTTTTGTCATTTGTTGGTGGAAAAGGTGGACAGATTTTAAATTCCCACAGTGACTTAAGAACTCTTTTGTCCCCCACGCCATCAGACTGTAAACGCCTCACCGGGGGCGAGGAGGTGAACCAGGACAGGGGGAAGAGATATTACATACTTAATCTGTATTTTTATTTATTTATTTGTATTTTTTTGCTTGATTTAACTCTAACTTAATACTTTTTGCCCTTTAAGCTGCTGGTAACCTTAATTTCCTGAGGGAGTCTTCCCAAGGGATCAATAAAGTAATGTCTAAGTCTAAGTCTAAGTCTCTAAGTCTAAGTCTAAGTGTTTTTTTTGTTTTATTTAGTTTTATTTTTTGGTCATTTGTTGGTGGCTAAATGCCCCCCTAACCCTAACCCTGGAAAACAGAGGCAGGTGGCAGGATTTTTAAATTCCCACAGCGGTTTTTTTAGTTTTATTTAGTTTTATTTAGTTTTATTTAGTTTTATTTAGTT